AAAAAAATCAGGAGACAACAAATGTTGGAAAGGATATGGATAAATAGGAACACTTTTACACTGTTGGTGGGAGTGTAAATTAATTCAACAATTGTGGAAGACAGTGTGGCCATTCCTCAAGGATCCAGAAATAGAAATTCCATCTGACCCAACAATCCAATTACTGGGTATATACCCAGAGGATTGTAAATCATTATATTATAAAGACACATGCACACGTACATTCATTGCAGCACTGTTCACAATAGCAAAGACTTGGAACCAACCCAAATGCCCATCAATGATAGACTGGATAAAGAATATGTGGCACGTACACACAGTGGAATACTATGCAGACATAAAAAGGATAAGTCCATGTCCTTTGCAGGGACATGGATGAATCTGGAAACCATCATTCTCAGTGAACTGACACAAGAACAGAAAACCAAACACTGCATGTTCTCACTCATAAGTGGGAATTGAAAAATGAGAACACGTGGACACAAGGAGGAGAATATTACACATTGGGGCCTGTTGGGGAGTGGAGGACTAGGGGAGGGACAGCATTAGGAGAAATACCTGATATGGATGATGGGTTGATGGGTGCAGCAAACTACTATGACATATGTATAACTATGTAACAAACCTGTATGTTCTGCACATGTACCCAAGTACTTAAAAAAAGCATATATGCATATATGTGTATATAAATATATATATATATATATATATATAAAGAGTGCTCCTAAAAAATGTGACCAATACAAATTTTGATATTACAAAAGCTTTATTATAGTCATAAAAATGCAGCCTCTTAAAAACAAGCTCAGTATTCATTGTACTGGAAGAAAATGAAAATGGAAGGGAAGAAGAATGCTGAAAGTAACCATGCTTTATTAGATTAAAAGAATCAAGCAGAGGTAAAATACCCCTATTCTGTAAGTGAGCAACATGGCTTGCATAAAAGACTCAGCCCATAAAAAGACATTGAAAACAGGAACTTGAATTATTAATAATATGAAACTTAATAGACATAAAGACTCATTCATCTAGGGTGAATGACTATTAATAAATATGCTAGATCAAAAATAAAATTCTTATTTATATCAAAATATATGGCAAAGGAAATAAATGATGAGGATCAAAATTAAAGTCTAGAAATATATGCTTAAAGGGAAATAAGTTATTCAAAAGTTGTGTTTTAAAATATTAAATAAGTTATCTCACCCTTATCAAGTTAAATCTATATTTGTCTTATTAATTTTACATTTATATGTGCCCTTTTGATTGCTGATTATTTTCAAAATCATATTGCTCTGAACACATTTCTAAGATCAAACTTTTAAGGCTCATTTTTATCCCAAATGTTATGTCCTATTGAGTTTTGTCTTTCTTGACACAGTTCAGTATACATTTTGTACACCATTCAGACAGATATTTGCTACCTACCTCTTTATACAATCATCATCTTGATTTTTCTCCTTGCCATTTAGAGCACATGTGTTTTAAAAACCTTGGCCCTTTTTACCAAGAGAACTACATTGTCCTCATAGGCTATTCCTACTTAATTCTTATCAGACTAATTTTGAAATGTGATCTTTTCAATTATTTAATATAATAATAAGAAATCTGTTCAGGAGAATTGTGCTAATCTTTTGAGTTTTTTAAAAAATTAAAGACATGTAAATTGCCTACCATTTATTTGAACTATTCATGATTTGCCTTGGGTCCAAGTAAAATTATATTTCTTTCCTGGTTATCAGGCTCTAGATATCATAATCACTTTCTCCCAAGGTTTCTATAATGTACATGCTGTCAACTTAATCCTCCATGTTATGTATGATTAGGGTGAGGCTCCCTCTCATTTCTTTGTCTTTCCGGAAAACAAAATTGTCCATTAGTATATTGAGAGCCTGTCACATTAACCAGGGACAGTCACTAAATTGAACACTGGGCAGACATTTTGTAAACATTTACTACATGGATTATAAAGATGTTTATGTCATAATTTTATAGTAAATAAGGATTCCAGCCTGAGTGACAGAGTTTGAGACCAGCCTGGGCAATGTATGAGACCTCATCTCTATTGAAAAAATGCTTTCTGCATTTTCCAGGATACAGGGAGGAGCTCACAATGTGTGTTTAGATGTTATCTTGCAACAAGACTCAGCAGAATTTAGGCTATTTTCCTATGTACAGTTTAATTTATCTGCACAAAATTGTAATCATATTGCACATAAAATTCTGTACCTTTTTTTTATGAGACACGGTCTTACTCCTGTCACTCAGGCTGAAGTCCACCTTCTTATTTATTATAAAATTATTACATAAACATCTTTATAATTTTTTTTTTGGAGACGTAGTTTAGCTCTTGTTACCCAGTCTGGAGTGCAATGGTGTGATCTCGGCTCACTGCAACCTCTGCCTCCTTGGTTCAAGCAGTTCTCCTGCCTCAGCCTCCTGAGTAGCTTGGATTACAGGTGTGCACCACCATGCCCAGCTAATCTTTTGTATTTTTAGTAGAGACGAGGTTTCACCATATTGACTAGGATGGTCTCGATCTCTTGACCTCGTGATCCACCCGCTTCGGCCTCCCAAAGTGCTGGGATAGCAGGCTTGAGCCACCGCACCGGGCCCAACATCTTTATAATTCATGCTGAGACTAGTATATTCACAGGAAAGATCAGGAAGTTTCTTGTAAAAGCTTTTCCACGATGCTAGCTGGAGATGGGAAAGAGCAGCCAACACCAACATTCACTGGGACTTACTACCCCATCTGTTTGACAAACCAAAAGCCTTAAATGTAAGTGAAAGAGCAATAAAACATATATATTGTAGGCATCAGTGAAAATCATTTGCACTTGGAGAAGAGAAATGGCAGTCACCACCAAAACTCCATCCAGACCTATCTGCTTTATTTTTTTCTTATGGAACAAAAAAACGTTACTTTGCAGTGGAAAGGGAGCCAGAATGGTAGCCTGTGGGCTCTTTTGGAAATGCACTGCAGCTGGGGAAGATAGGAACAGGAAAAACATGCTATTTCCTCAAGGGAGATGAAGGAATATCTGCTAAACTCAGCGATGCATCTAGAGAGAGGGTGAGAAGACTTTTCAGGGCCTAGATGCTGAGAGGTAGGTTCACAGTGCATGACTAAAGCTGAGACTTAATCAGAATTTCAGAGGTCTACCTTCTTTCTCTGTCTTCTCCCACCACACTAATAAACAGTAAGTAAAAACAATATACAATATAATTGAGAGAGTTGAAAGACAAGAATTCTTTCTTGGAGCGTTAAATGGAAATAATCAAAGTCAAATGTGGACACTCAAGTCCAGAGAGAAAGTAGCATTGAATCCCAGCTGGACTCCTGACAAGTGTAAAATAACTTTCTACCCTAAAGACCTAAAATAACATAAACTCATATTCAAGGATAAATTTATTTAACTAAGACTACTACTCTATATGACATGTCTTTAAACTAAAAATTATAAAGCATATATAAAATGATAAGAAAAAAGTAAAAGAAAGCAATCACCAAAACCAGATTCAAAGATAAAATGGATATTGAAACTATCAGAGAGAGAAATGAAAATGATTACAATTAATATGTTAAATTTTCTCAAAGAAAAGATGCAGCAAGAAATATTAGGTAACTTGTGCAGAGTTGAAAATTGTAAGAAATAATCCATGGGAAACACTAGAAATAAACAAACACACAAAATCAAAATGGATATTGAAAATGTAATCAGTGGGCACTTACGGAAATTTGACCCAGTCACAGAAAGAGTAAGTTACTTTGAAAGTCAACAGAAATTTACCCAAACTGAAATATAAATAATAAGTTAGTGGAAAACTAAAAACTAACAGAAAAGACCAACTAAAGCTGTGGGGCAGTATCAAAAGGTCTAACATCCATGTCTTGGTACCCCCGAGAGAAAAGGAAGTAACAGGACAAAAGATACATTTGAAGAAGTAGTAGACAATAATTTTCCAAAATTAATAGTGGACTTCAAATAGCCAATCCAAGAAGTTGATAGAACAACAAAGAGTTTAAATTAAAAATAAATTAAATAAAACGAATCACAGCCTGAGGATATCCTAATCAAACAGATGAAACGAAAGGGAGAGATAACATCATAGGTGGGTGATGAAAAATGAGAACACATAGACACAGAAAGGGGAGTACTAAACACTGGGGTCTATTGGGGGGAAAAGGGGAGGGCCAGTGGGAGGGGGAGGTGGGGAGGGATAGCCTGGGGAGAAATGCCAAATGTGGGTGAAGGGGAGAAGAAAAGCAAAGCACACTGCCATGTGTGTACCTACGCAACTGTCTTGCATGCTCTGCTCATGTACCCCAAAACCTATAATCCAATAAAAATTAAAAAAAAAATAGCTAAGAGGTAAGGGGTAGAGGGGAGTCACTTTATTTACAGTAGAAAGTGAAATAGAATTGCATCAGACTTCTCAACAGAAACTGTGGAAGCAAGGAAAAAATAACAACTTTGTGTCATGAAAGAAGTAAAAAAGCCTATCAAGAATTTCATACCCAGTAAAAATGTTCATTAAAAATTAAAAAGAAATATTTCTCATCAACCAAAAACTCATTGAGTCATTGTCAGTAGATTTAATATCAGGAAATATTAAAGAATGTTTTTCATTCTGAAGAAATATGATGTCAGAAACTTGTCTAAAGAGCATAAGGAAATAAATAAATCTTAGGAAATGACAATTTTTAATCATTTGCAAGTTAATGAAAAGTCAATATTTTTAGTCATTTGTAATTTAAGTGAAAAATAACTGTTCAAAGCAGAACTTGCAAAAGAAGTGTGTTTTACATAATAGTGAGATGTATGAATAGTAAGAGAAAGAAGATTCACTGATACATAGATGGTTACACTGTACATGGAGGAACATAATATTATTCAAGACTAAAATGAGATTATTTAAAAATAAGTATGGTAAAACTAAAATCTAGACCATAATAAGCATTTCAAAATAAGTGTGCAGAGTTAACAAGACTTCAAATTCATTATTCCTCAGATCGTCAAGTACAGTCCTGATTGCATCATAATTGTGGTTTCCAATCCCAGTGGACATTCTTACATATGTTACCGGAAACTAAGTGGATTACCCAAACACCGTGTGATTGGAAGTGGATGTAATCTGGATTCTGCGAGATTTCGCTACCTTATGGCTGAAAAACTTGGCATTCATCCCAGCAACTGTCATGGATGGATTTTGGGGGAACATGGTGACTCAAGTGTGGCTGTGTGGAGTGGTGTGAATGTGGCAGGTGTTTCTCTTCAGGAATTGAATCCAGAAATGGGAACTGACAATGATAGTGAAAATTGGAAGGAAGTGCATAAGATGGTGGTTGAAAGTGCCTATGAAGTCATCAAGCTAAAAGGATATACCAACTGGGCTATTGGATTAAGTGTGGCTGATCTTATTGAATCCATGTTGAAAAATCTATCCAGGATTCATCGTGTGTCAACAATGGTAAAGGGGATGTATGGCATCGAGAATGAAGTCTTCCTGAGCCTTCCGTGTATCCTCAATGCCCGGGGATTAACCAGCGTTATCAACCAGAAGCTCAAAGATGATGAGGTTGCTCAGCTCAAGAAAAGTGCAGATACCCTGTGGGACATGCAGAGGACCTAAAAGACCTGTGACTGCTGAGCCCTAGGCTGTAGAAGTTTAAAAACTACAATGTGATTAACTCTGAGCCTTTAGTTTTCATCCATGTACATGAATCTCAGTTTGCTCTGATCTTTAATATGTGAATTTGAGCTCACAGAATCAAAGCCTATGTTTGGTTTAATGCTTGCAATGAGTTCTAGAACAAATAAAATTAACTATTGCAGTGTGAAAAAAAAACAAAAAGAATTAGTCATAAAAGGGATCAAATATACTCAGAAAATATGGAAAAGAGGAAAAAGAAGCAAAGTACAAATAAAATATCTAGCAATATTAAGTATATATTAATCAACCATATAAAAATTACTTTAAAGGTGAATGATGTCACAAATAATTTTAAAAAATATACATATATCTTTTTATTGTTATATATTTTTAATACATATATAACAGTTGTTATATATATGTTACATTATATATATATATATATATATAATGAAAAAATAAACCAAAAGGAAGTTGAAATAAATATTTGCTTAAAACAACTGTTTAAGCAAAATAAACTTTGGTAATAGGAAAAGAGCTATTATCAAAAATAAAGTAAAACACTATAAAATGATTAAAAAAATCAATTATTCAAGAGGTATTAAAAATTACGAATTTGTATAAACTTAAAAACAATACTTCAAAACACATGAGACAAAAACTGGTTTTATTTACTCTCATTTTTAATTTTTCTAAAAATTACTTATATTTATAGCATACAATTTTATTATTTTAATTAACACAATTATACATATTTTGGAGCTATAATGTGATGTCTTGTACATGTATACATTGTGCAATGATCAAATTTAGGTAATTAATATATCCATTACTTCAAAAGTTTATCACTTGTTTGTGTTGAGAATATTCAAAATTCTCTCATCTAGCTCTTTGAAAATATACAATAAATTACTGTCAACTACAGTCACCCTAAACGTCTATACTGCAGTAGAACTTATGCCTCCTATTTAGTTGTGATTTTATTTCACTTACTCTCCTTACCCCCTTACTTCCATGTTTCCTAGCCTCTAGTAATAGCTATTTACTTCCTATTACTATGAAATCAACTTTTTTAGTTCTACATGTTTTTGAGAACATGTGGTATTTATCTTTCTGTGCCTGGCTTATTTTACTTAAGATAATGTTCTTTAGCCTCAATTATTCTTCTGTAAATTGAAGGATTTCTTTGTTCTTTATAGCTAAATGGTATTTAATTGTGTATATGTACCATAATTTATTTATCCATTCATCAGTTGATAGACATTTAGTCTGATTCCCTGTCTTAACTATTGTGAATAGTGCTGCAGTAAGGGAATACAGGAATTTCTTTGCTGTAATGATTTTCTTTCCTCTTGACAAATACCTATTAGTGGGATTGCTTTTGGTAATTTTACTTTGAGTTTTTAGAAATTTCTATACCATTTTCTGTAACAGCTGTAATAATTTACATTCCCATCAAAAGTGTAGAAAAGTTTTATTTTCTGAGCAAGCATCCTCACTAGCATTTATTTGTGTGTGTGTGGTTTTGATTTGCTTTTCTGCAACTCAAACCCTGATGATTAGTGGTGTTCAGCACAACAGTGTCTATGTCTTCTTTTGAGAAATGGCTATTCAAATCATTGCCCATTTTTCTACTGGATTTCTTAAACCATTGAGTCATTTGTGCTTCTTGCATATCCTGAATATTAATCCTGAACTAAATGGTTTGCAAATATTTTCTCCCTTTTTGCATGTTCTGTCTTCAATCTGTTGATGGTTTCCATTCATCTTCAAAAGCTTTTTAGTTTGATATAACTCCATTTGTCTATTTTTGCTTTTGTGGTCTGTGATTTTGAGGTCTTAACCGTCAAATCTTTGCTCATCCCAATATTCTGAAGCATTTCCCCTGTTTCCTTCCAGTAGTTTCATTGTTTCAGGTCTCATATTGAAGTCTGTAATCCATTTTGAGTTTATTTTTATCTCTGTTGAGAAATAGGACTCTAGTTTCATTCTCTTGAATATGGATATCGTTTTTCTAACACAATTTATTAAAGAGATGTCTTTTCTCCATTGTGTGTTGTTGGTGTCTTTTCAAAAATTTAATTGACCCGAAGTGTGTGGACTTATTTCTGAGCTGCCTAGTCTGTTCTAATGGTTTGTTTCTTTTTATTCGTGGATCTTATTGTTTTGATTACTATAACATTGTAGTGTATTTCCGAGGTAGTGTGGTGCTTTTAGTTTTATACTTTTTGCTAAAGATACTTTGGATTGTGGAGCACTTTGCAGTTTCAAATAAATTTTAGTTGTTTTTGTTGTGGTTGTTTTCCTGTGAAAAATGTCATTGGTATTTTGACAGGGATTGCAATTAAATCTGTAGATTGTTTTTGGTAGTATAGTCATTTTAATAATGTTAATACCTTCAACGCATGAACATGGAATTTATATTTATGTCTGTGTGCCCTCTTCAAATTCTTTCATCAGTGTCGCATAGTTCTCATTTAGAGACAATTCACCTCCTTGGTTAATTTATTCTTAGGTATTTTATTTATTTTTTGAGCTACTGTGTAAACGGGATTTATTTCTTGACTTCTTTTTCAGCTAGTTATTAGTGTATGAAAGTGCTACTGATTTTTGTATGTTAATTTTGTATTCTTCAATTTTACTGAATTTATTTACTAGTCTTAGGAATTATTGGGTGTAACTGTTAGGTTTTTCTATATGTAACATTTAGTTGTCTGCAGATAGGGACAACGTGATTTCATTCTTTCCAATTTGGGTGCCCTTTTTTTTCCTCTCTCTTGTGCCCAATTGCTCTGGCTATGAATTCCAATACTTCAAAATTACATATTATACTTATATAAATAAATAATAGATTAATAATCAAACAATTAGATAAGTCGTATGGAATAATCTTCCCTGTAGAAGAATTTCAATAAATAAATGTAGACAAAACGAGGGAAATAAAAATAATTATCAGAATACTACAGTAATAATTATTTCAGGCAATATCCACTGATGAAAGCTAACACTAGTAGGTGAAACTTGAAAGGGAGATGGGAAATTTACGTAGACTTAAAATTATTTTGCATAATATGCATTCATAACTGAGACAGATTCAAATATGTTTCCCTCCTTTTATTGTGGTTCAGACGTAGTGACTCAATAGCAAGATACAGAGTAGAGAAAGAAATATAATTTTACAGTAATCAGGAAGACACCACCACAACCACTTGTTTAGGATTAACATAGCCAGCAATAAGCCATTTTGATATTATGTGCTACTTGATATGCAATTAGAAAGTCACTTCACCTCTTTGGTAAACTTTTTAAAAATCCATAGCCACAGTTTAGTCAAGAGCCCATATCACATAAAGCCAAATTGAGAAATTTTCTACAAAAAACCTGACTGGTGCTTAGCAAAAGTGTCAAGCTCATGACAAAAAAGAAAATGCTGGGAAATTGACACAGACTCAAAGACACTACAGAGACATGACAGGTAAATGCTATGTGGTATTCTGAACTGGATTCTTCAATAGAAAAAGGACATAGGCAGAAGGACGGGTGAAATACACATAAAATATATAGTTTACTTAAAAGTAAAAAAAAACTACTTTTTTAGCTTCTCTTTAAATTTAAAAGTATTTTAAAATACAGAGTTTAATAAAATGGTTCTTAATTTCACTACAAATAGGGGAAATGCAAATTTAAAACATACCAATTAAATAGAAAAATTTCGTAATGTTTACCAATACTATGTGTTGACAAAATTATATGGAGAAATTAGGACTTCTTTGAGAAGTTCAAGAGAGAATCACTCTTTCTTCTGATTAAGTAAATTGATGCATATACCTAGAAAACTGTTAAATCTAAATTGCTATGCTTACTCACAGCCCAGAAAATCTACTACTAAGTATACACCTACTATATGCCCATGAGTGCCCATGTGCAAAAAACAGGACACACAACAATTTCTGTAATAGATAAAAAACACTAAATTAACATCAAATTCCCAAATAGTAGAATAAATAAATCATACTTTTATATTCAAACAAGGATTTTACTCTAGTAAAATCAAACTACAACTGCACACAACATAGTTTTGTCTCAGAAATATGTTCAGTAAAGGAACACAGGTACAAATGAATATATACTATATTTTTCCATTTAAGTAAGGTGAAAAACAGTCAAGCATATATACTGTAATTTAAATCAGGATAGAGATTAAATTTTGTAAAGAAGGAAGAGGTTATGAAAGAAGAGGGGTTGGGGGAGATCCAAGATGGCTGAATAGGAACAGCTCTGTAGTGCAGTTCCCAGTGATCATGTAGGTGGTGAGTAATCACCACATTTTCAAACGAGTTTTTACTGCCCACAGATCAGAAGATTCCCGGGAGGAAAAGCACCATGAGTCTCCGGCATGGCTGTTTCAGCTGGTGCAGCAGGTCTCTGCACAAAAACTCACACAAATCTGGGCAGCCATTTCAACTGGTTCCTGGAACGCCTGGGAGACAGAATCACCCATTCAGCTGAAAAAAAGGGGGCTGAGACAGGGAGCCAGGTGATCTGGCTTGGCAGGTCCCACCCCCACAAAGACCAGTAATTCCTCAAGGATCTAGAAATAGAAATACCATTTGACCCAGCAATCCCATTACTGTGGGACCATTATATCCAGAGGATTATACATCATTCTATTATAAAGACACATGCACATGTATGTTCATTGTGGCACTGTTTACAATGGCAAAGACCTGGAACCAACACAAATGCCCATTAATGGTAGACTGGACAAGGAAACTTGGCACATATACATCATGGAATACTATGCAGCCATAAAAAATGCTGAGTTCGTGTCCTTCTTTGGGACATCGATGAATCTGGAATCCATCATTCTCAGCAAACTGACACAAGAACAGAAAATCAAACACTGCATGTTCTCACTCATAGGTGGGTGTTGAACAAAGAGAACACATGAACACAGGGAGGGGAGCATCACACACTGGGGGCTGTTGCGGGAGACTAGGGGAGGGAGAGCAGCGGGTAGGGAGTTTGGCAGGGATAACATGGGAAGAAATGCTAGATAATAGGTGATGCGGATGGAGGCAGCAAACCACATTGCCATGTATGTGCCTATGCAACAATCCTGGATGTTCTTCACGTGTACCCAGAACCTAAAGTGCAATAAACTATATTAAAAAGAAATAA